ATTTTATTAATAAACGAAGATAAATCATTCTTAATTAGTTGTGTATACTCACTTTTGACTCTCACTGTATCTTACAAATGTACTTTAATAAACAAACACAAAAATACTGTCACATCTTCATGTATTTTCATATCAGACAATACATACATTTCTAGACATATAAATGGTTTGAAGTCGAAATCTGTGTGTGTGTGTGTGTGTGTCACATTCGGATATTTTTTTTTAACCGAAAGTTGCTTATCCACAAGACTGATTTTAATCGTCACTCGGACAGCGCTGAGCTATGCGATTTAAACAAGAGAATGCGTATTTCAATCGTATTCAGGATTACTACGTGGTATTATTGTCACCCATGGAGCTGGACACGACGATGAGAATGATATTGCAAGTACCTATTTGGGCGCAGCGAGTGATCTATATCCAAGGATCGTGTCTGAAAGACAGCGACTTAACTAGAGCCAGAATGAACGAGGCTGAGGCCTGCTTCGTCCTAGCCGCGAGGAACTACGCAGACAAGACGGCTGCCGACGAGCACACGATACTCAGGTCAGTTGAACGTTACGTGAATCCCTCGAAGGACCAATCGTTTAAAGATCGTGTCTGACGTCGACGTCGATGACGACAGGTCGTGGGCGGTGAAGGACTTTGCGCCGAACGTTCCTCAGTACGTTCAGATCTTCCGTCCGGAGAACAAGCTTCACGTGAAATTCGCAGAGCACGTGGTATGTGAGGACGAGTTCAAGTACGCTCTTTTGGCGAACAACTGCACCTGTCCTGGCGCCTCGACCCTGGTCACCCTTTTATTGCACACGTCCAGGGGACAGTGAGTCGACCAATAAGTTCACCGCCGAGCGAAACGGCTCGTTCGACGACGAAAACAGATTACTCGTCTGGTTTTGTTCCTATTGCGCAGGGAAGGGCAGCAGTCGCAGGAGGAGTGGCAGAGGCTGTATGGTAAATGTTCCGGCAACGAGATTTATCACATTATTCTCGGGGATTCACGGTTCTTCGGCGAGTACGAGGGAAAATCCTTCACGTACGCGTCTTTCCACAGCCATCGTAAATATGGGGTAGCGCTGGTCGCTGTCAGGCCGGCGGAACTGCCGGAATTTTACGAAGACACTATCCTATTAAATCCCGGTACGATTTTCATTCTGTGCATTCCAATTTTCCACGAAAACAGACGTAAAACAAAACAGTAATTATATGCTTTTGTATGATAGTTTACAGATCAGTCAATAGCAGATAATAATAATCAATAATTGATTTTGTTAAATTGTCATTGATTAAGTTTTAATTACTGATACATACTTTTCTATTTTA